CAGGAAGATGGAAAAACCAAACTGAGACTGAAAGCACAGTCTGCCTGTGTTCTTCCTTATGTACCATCTTGGCTGATCTTACTTGTACATATCGTGGGGTGGGTGGGCTGTGGGAATGGGCCATATTTTTTTACTTTTAGATATTAAAGAATATGATGTGGGCCAGTATTGTGGGGTGCTCAGGCTGTTTGCCTTCACTGATGCAGTTTTCTTCCCCCTGGCTTGTAAATAAGCTCCATCAAATTCTCCCCACACCAGGCTTAGACCTGTATCCCTTTGTTGGTAAAACTGATGTGCAGTTAGTCCATCCTGCGTTTTGTTACAGGTCTGCAGGTTTCCAGCAGTAGCCCCAAAGAGTGATGTGTCCTTTGTCAAGTGGTGTCTTCAGAAATTAATTTTACAAATCTTAAGCATGACTGTGCTGACTCTGCTTTGCTGTAGCCCTGCTCCAAGGAATGCCCCTGCAAAGAGATGGGAGGGACATGCCCTCCTGCCTCAGTGGGGCTTGTGGGCAAGTGGCACAGAAAAGCTGGCAAACTGGTCTTCAATCCTGGTTCCAGTTTCTTCTTCCTGAAATGCTGCATTGATGGAATGCTTCCACCAGCAGGCTGGGACAAGCTCTGTGAAAATGTGGTCACTGTATTCTTGCCTTTCCAAATACACTTGGTTTTATGTGCTGGGTCACAACTTGGGAATTTGGTTCTTTCCCTCCCCCAGTCACTCGTGCTTCCATGCACATAAACATGAAATGCTGGCAAGGTGACAAGGCAGTAAGAGGTCTGTTCTTTCTGCTCTCAGGTGCCAGTCCATACTGGTGAACCATGCCCGAGCGTTTTCCTTAGGTCAGTTGTCATGATGTTCCCCTGTTACAGCAAAGTTATCTCAGCTGTGGGGCTCGGTATATAATTCAGAACATGTCTCCCTGGAAAAGTGAATTGGCTTGTAGAGCAGCTACTTCTGTTGTGCTTCTTGCTCCCCCCCCCGTACTTGTCAGTGTAAAGGTGCTGTGCTAAGGGCTGGGGCTGGGCACTGAGCATTTCTGCACTGCTGGTTCCATTCACATCCCAACGCTTGCCTGTGGCAGGAGCTCTGCCTGCGCGAGGCATGCGTGGGACTTGGTGCTCACATCGTGCTGTAGTGAGCCTTCTCTGTAGGCACTGTGGCTCGTGTCTGCTGATGCTGCCACAGGAGGCATTTCTAGCAGCAGGTCTGTGATGTGAATTTGTTGTCCTCCAGCAAGCAGATGCTTTCCCTCTTGCAGCACAGACCTGCTGCTGGAGATGCAGATGAGAGGTTAATACTATTGCCCAGCATCCCTCTTCCCACCCTGTCCCACTGGTGCCTATAAACTGCCCAGCACAAAGGGAGCTGGTTATCTCGGGCCTCAGCCAATCCAACTCAGTATTGTTGCATTTCAGGCTGCTTGGTGCTATTTTACCTCTGTTGGTGTTTCTGTAAGCAGCCGTATTTTGCAGTGCTTTGTGACATACATGTACTTGGGGTTTGTTGTGCATTTTAACAGTTAAACTTCAGTAGCAAATTGTCTTTGAGGTTTTTACCAAGACTGTTGCCTGAGGAAGTGAACAGATAGCCTCCAGCCATTTCCCGTGTTACTTTCCACAGGGAAGCACTTGGAAGTCTTTTATTCTACAAATGCTCTTTGCTAACCTGGTTTGAGCACTTGACTAAAGCCCATTGTTCAGCTCTCTTGTCTGCAGTGTTGTAAAACATGGCCAGTTGCACTGTAAGAAAAAGGGGACCAGAGGAGCAGTCTAGGAGGGCACATGGACAGAACATCAGTGGCTTTCTGGAGCTGAGGTAAATGTACAGGCTCGTGCACAACAGCACTTCATGCTCAGCTCAGGATTACAGCTGAGCTCCTTCCCAGGCCATTGCCACCCACGCAGGCAGTCTCTGTTGATGTGGCACCGAGTGTTTTCCGTCTGCCTTGAAGAGGGAAATGTGCCAAGTATTGTCAAGGAACTTGAGGATCGTGTGTTTCTCAACAGTTGGACAGGAAAGGTGAATAAAGCTTTTAGCTTCCGACTTCCATGTGCTTCTCTAAAAGTCTCAGGGCTGCAATTCCTGTGCTTCTCAGGGCAGCCAGTTAATGAGAAACAGACCTCACAAAAAACAGCCCTCCCAGATCTAATGGAGTGGCCAACCAAACCAAGCAGGAAACAGCATCCCCCCTCCAAATCTGACATTTAAAAGGTGAATGCCTCCATGTTCTTTGGGATGAAATAAACACCTTTCTTCAAAACAAAGGGAAAGTGAGACTTTCCAGCCCACCTCTAAGTAAGTGGTGGCTGAGCACCTCTGCCTGGGCTGTAGGAGATTCTGGGTGTGACTTTCCAAGTCAGTCTCGAGATATTTTTATTGGAGCTCCCAGGTCCTGGATTCATGTCCCACCCACTGCTCTGGGGCACACAGGAGCAGTTGAGTGACAAATTTGGAAGCAGCAGCTTAGCTTTTCCAATGCCTCTTGACTATTAGCACTTTAAGAGACTTCACCTTGGTTTTTGGGTCAGGGGCTAGGAACCTGGTGAGCCTTTTGGAAACTGGTCTCTGTGGTCCTGAACTGCTATGGGGAGTTTGACTCCATAGTGGTATCTGCCAGATGAGTGTAAATAGGTAAAGTAAAATTATACTTTGTCACAAAATACTACATATGTGGAGAACTTGATGTTGTGGCTGTGACCAATAAATATTTTGTAGAGAGATCACTTGAGTGCTGTAAATTCTGCATTTATCCAGTGTGATGCAACTTGTTGGTTTCTTAGTGGGGGAATGGGAAAATAATCCATTTATGTAAAAAGATCCTTTGTTTTGGGAAGCCAGAAGCTCTGTAGTGGAAATTGTGATTCTTTGAAGTTATTCCTACATAAATTGCCTGCTTTAAGAGTTTTTTTCCTGCCTAGAAATGTGTCAGGACAGGGAATAAGCCTTGTGACAGCTGCTTATGGAGCTATGGTGTCCTAGATAGAGGGGTGTTCACAGCAGCCTGGGGTCTGGATGGAAGAGCTGAGCTCTTTCTCAGCAAGAAGGTGAGAAAATAACTTGTTGGATTTGAGTAACAGGAATCTTGAATCATTACAGGCAGTGCATATAAATGCAGTGCTACAACTGCTGTAGGGTAGACCGCAGCCAGCATGAAGTTATCATGGGCACCTCGCTTATGTGCATTGTTTTCAGGTTAAACTTAAGGAGGATGAGGGAAAAGCAAAGCTGGAATGTGGGGTTTTTTTGTTCTATCTCTTGCTTAAATCATGGGCAGATAGCTGAGAATGCTGCCACATTCCTGGGTCCAGGTCTCCCACTGCACTAAGCCCTCAGGGCAGTACTGATAAATGTTTATTGTGACAAAGTGCTTCTTGGCAAAGACAATTCCAAAGCAAAAACTCCCCTGGGATTTTCTAAGGGTGCTTTTCTCCAGCTCAGGTCTGTGTAAAACACCTGAGAAGAATAACACCATAGTAATATGCATGGGAAAAAAACCCTAAGTACTTTTATTTGGACTTTCATCCTTGTGGATGAAAAAACTGGGGTTTGGCTGCTCCTCTGGGGAATCCTGCAACCTGTGTAATGAATAATGAAAACCACAGTGGAGACCTGGGGAGATGGGAAACTTGTCCAGACCTGAATTTGCCTGGCTAATGAAGAGATTGAGAAGCAGATCTTCAGAGTTTAAGGCACAACTCTGGCATGTCTGCTGTGCTGCTGCTCCTGTTGGAATGAGTGTAAGTGCCTGAGAATCAGCACTGCAGACAAAGTGTAACAAACCGGTTTTATTTCACTTGGAGCATTTCTACAAAATCAGCTGATGTACTTAAGCACTTCAGTTCTCACCAGTGCTGCAGCTACAAAACCTGCTTTGCTGTCAGAAATGACCTGAATAGAGAAAATGTCAGCAAGTGTGGACTAAGATTTGTTAGAAATCTGTACATTGTGTTACTAAGACACTTCAATGTTATTACCTAATAGTAAGGCACCTATCTTTGCACGGAAGGCTCCTGTACACCAGTGTGTAGCTTCACCTGCTAACATTATCTGGTTTGAGGTGGTGCTGCCTACAAATGCCAGCGGTCTCAGAGGTTTGGCCTACTGCTCCAGCATTCACATGTCTCAGGCATGGCTGTGCCCAGTGCTGTCTGGGCAGCAGCTCACGGGTTTTCAGCACATCTCACATTACAGCAAACGGATACGAGAGATGCTTTAGCTTATGCATCCAGTTTGTGCTGGTTTGAGCTGAAGTAGAGTTAACTTTCTTCACAGAGGCTAGTATGGGGCTCTATTTGGGTTTTGTGCAGAACACAGAGTTGATAATGCAGAGATGTTTTTGTTATTGCTGAGCAGAGGCCTTTGCTGCTTTCTGTACTGCCACACTGGCAAGGAAGTGGGGGATGCATGGGAGATTGGGAGAAGACACAGCTGGGACAGGTGACCCAAACTGACCAAAGGGATATTCCACACCATATGGCATCATGCACAGTATATAAGGTCAGAGGAAGGAGGAAGGGGGAACATCTGGAGTGATGGTGTTTGTCTTCCCAAGGAACCGTTACACGTGATGGGCCCTGCTCTCCTGGAGATAGCTAAACACCTCCTGTATTTGGGAAGCAGTGAATTAATTCCTTGTTTTGCTTTGCTTGTGTGTGCAGCTTTTGCTTTCTCTATTAAACTGTCTTTATCTCAACCCATGAGTTTTTGTAGCTTTTACCCTTCTGATTCACTCCCCCATCCCGTTGGTGGGGGAGTGAGTGAGTGGCTGTGTGGTTCTTGGCAGCTGGCTGGGGTTAAACCACGAAACAGTTCAACTTAGTTCAAGTCTGGTTAAAAGCCAGCTCTTCAGACTGGTTGGATTGCAACTGATCCTTGTTATTCAATACTAAAAAGGGAAAGGGGTCAGTCGAAATACAGATTTGAGTGTTGCTGTACTGCAAAGGTCTTGGCAAAGGACCCTTCAGCTTGCATGGCCCCCTTTGCAATTTCTCCTTGGCCCAACAAAGAGAAAGGGGAATGATTTATTGCCCACTGTTTCTCTCTTGTACGTTCTTAATCTTCTTGTTCACCCCCTGTTAAGTGCTGGCTATGCATTTTCAGGTTCCACTGCAAATGATTTTGCTGGAAGGAAGTGTACACATGCAGCAGAATTGCCTCAGTCTCAGGCTGATGCTGAACAGCACCACAGTAGGGGAACACAGAGATGCTGTGTGTCATGCTAACAGTCAGTCCTCCTCCCTGTTGTGTAATGGGATGACAAATACAGAGATGTCATCATAGGATGCCTCATGGCTGTCATCCAGCATCCACCGGTGGTCTCTCTCCTTTCCCCTTGCTCTGCATACCAAGCACTTGGCCAGTTCTGAAAACCTGTGGGTGGAAAAAAGGCAAGGTTTGTGGTAATGTGGCACTATTCCCCTTAAGAACAATGTTGGGATGTGGCTTTATGTTGTTAAAATAGCAGGGGTTTTAGGGCACCAGCTTTATTGTTGTTTCTTTAGCATGAGGAAAGTTTAGGAGGCAGTTTCCAGAGTCATGGAATAGAATGTTTGGTCATGCCAGAGCTGATGTGGAAGCAGAGTGCTTTAGGTCTGACCAGATTCTTTAGGAGGGAAATGATGGCAAAGGTGGTACTACCTGTAAGGATCTGTCCTGTTTTCTGCAAGGAAGCTCCTGACTACATGGGCCACCTCATTGTTGCACAGAACATCCCAAAGGCCATCTGTTGCCATGATGAGGACATCATCTTCCTTAATGTCATGCAGAGCAAAGTCAAACACATTCACCTGGAAAGCACAGGAGTAAATCAGTGACAATTCCCTGCAATGTACTGTAGACTTCAGGGAGATGACTCTTCTCCTGATAGATGATCTTCTCTGTTCCCTTGCTGCTCTGTGTCTAGATTCCTCTGTCTTGTGGATTCTCTGGGCAGCATGGCCAGTGAGATGGGGGATGGAGAAAGGACACAACTAAGACCTATCAGGTTTGTATAAGGTGCATGCTACAGAGGTGGATGTTTAATTCCATCCCACAATTCCCACGTGCTGCAACTGACCTTGGGAATGCAGGAGAGGAAAGGTTTGACTTCAATGTTGCTGTCAATGACTTTGAGTTGATGATCCCCCAGGCCTCGAGAGACAGCCAAAGTCCCCAGCAAGCGAGCCTGGCCCCAAACAAAGCAAAACAGGATTGAAACATAAGGAAGTGGCACCTTTAAAGGCTAATGTGTGGCTTGTCCTGACTGATCTGTGTTGCCTTTTGGACCCCTCTCCAAGGAACACTCAGAACAGCCTGGGAAGATTTTGGAGGTGGAAGAGTGATCAGAAGTGATGGCATGATATGAGTGTGGGGACAGCCTGCACATGGATGGCTCCTAGTGGCCCACAGTGTGCTCTGGAGTTAGTGCATGTGCTCTGGGTAATGCTACAGACCTTGGGAAGCCCATGGTGGCATCTACCTTTGATTTGAGAAAGAAAACTGGGTTGGTTTGGGGGCAGGATTGTCCCTTTCTCCTGGTAAAGGAGGTTCTGCACTGACTCTGCAGAGGGTGGCATGTGTGTTGTAGTGCTGGGGGAGGGGATGAGGCTTTCTACTCTACCCCAGCAGGAGGATGCTGGATGAATGCAGTCATTGCTTCTCCTGCCTCCTCCTTCCCTCTCCAGGCTCCTTTTCTCATCCTCTCTTTGAGGAAGACAGTTTGTGGGAAAGGCACAAGTTAAAGCAGAAGGAGACAGTCCCAGCTGGGAGCTGATGAAGTACGTTCTCATCTGAAATGAGTTCTTGTGTGCAAAGGAAGAGGAGGAAAGGGCAGGCTGGCTCAGGGCTGCAGTCTACTCTGCTGCATTCTGGAGGAGGGTGCAGCCTCTCTGCTCGGGAGGCCTCTGGGTTGCACCAACTAGGCAGCAAATGGAACTGCTGTACTGGGGCTGTGGGATTGCACCATGCTGGAGAGCCCCAGAGCATGACTGAGTGACCCCCAGCCAACTTGCCTCTGCCTTCCCAATTTGTAAAGCATTAAGCTACCTGCTTCCCGTGACCATGAACAAGAGGATACTTGAGGTCAGCTTTCTCCACTGTCTTGTATCCCCTGGAACAGAGAATTCACAGTTGATTTGGGATTTGTCTGACCTGATGGTACAACCCAGCCAGAGCATTTCAACTGTGATTCAACCTGTGTGGTGCCCCCATGCACAGGCAGCTGACTGAGGGAGGGGCAAGGTGGCTTGCTGAAGCAGATGCAGTGAAGGTGGCCCCTTGCTAAATGCACAGGTGTTTTTCACTCCCCCCCTTCCTCCCCAACTTGTACCTGTACCAGGCTGGGACTCCTTGCACCAGCCCCACCTCGATGGATTCCAGAAGGATCATCTTGACTGTTTTCCAACTGCCCTGCCAATGCCCCAGTCCTTCAGTCAGAGGGAGCTGCTCACAGCATCCTTTACTACAGTCAAGCCCACTGCTGTCACCAGCAGGACATGCCCCTTCTCCCTTCACCTCCCCATCGCTATGAGCAGGTAAATCTGCCCTGTGCCCAGCCTTATCCTCAGGCAGAAAGGACTCACCAGCCCTCCATGAAGTAATCCCGGTACAGGACTTTCTGGCCCACGTCATCTCCTTTCAACCTCCGTGGGAACTCAAAGCGTGTGAACTCACCATCCAGGAGCTTGGGGAAAAGAAAAGCCTGGAGGAGGGAGCAAAGGTGTTAGGATAGACAAGTTCTGCTTCAGCAGAGTAGGGCACCAAAGCTGCTTCTGCCTCAGGATTGGCACTCCCAGCAGCAGAATGGAGAACAGAATTGGGAAAGGATATTACAGTGAGGACATGGACATCTTCCATGTTGGCTGAATCTCACCGCCAGACCTCCCTGGCTAATGCCAGAGGACATTCTGGCCATATAGTGGCCTTCAAAGAAAGCTGGTGGTCCTCTTGCCAAAAGCCCTCTGCCCCAGTGGGATGCTCAGAGATGGATTGTGTGATGTGTGGAAGGAGTCACTCACCAAGTGCTGGATTCGCTGCCTCTCTGTCTCGGGGGTGAACTCGCTGCTCATGGGCACAACCTTGTCCTTCAGGACAAGAATTGCCCTACAAGGGGGAAGAGGCAAAGCTGAGCTGTGACAGAAAACAGCTCTGCACCCAAAACTTTAAATATGCCACTATATTTTAAATAACCCTATTGCAATTGCACTGTTGCAGCAGAGAACTGTTTGCCTGGTTTGACAGTGGTACAGCTCACTGCTAGAGGAATGGGGGCTCAAGGCCAGGTGAGGATGTTCCTGAGGATGCCATGAAATCACCTTGCACTTTTAAACACCTGCTAGGCTGAGTTTATTGCTGCACCACCACCCCAATGTTGCCCTGTGTCCTGTGAAATCCCAAAACTGTTCCAGAAGGCATGAGAGCACCTGTCTTTGAACAGGTCCTGCATCAGGCAGGAGGGAGATGGCTGAGCTGCACTTTGTGTCTGTAGGGTTAAATAACTGCTGTGGTTTAACCCAGCAGGCTAAGCACCACAAAGCTACTTCCTCACTCCCCTGACACCTAGTGGGATGCGGGAGGCAACTGGGAAAAAAAAAAAAAAAGTAAAATCTGTGGGTTGAGATAAAGGCAGTTGAATAGAACGGGAAGGATAGGGAAATCAAAATAATTCAAATATACAAACCAATTGATGCATAGTGCAGTTGTTTACCACCTGCTGACCTCTGCCCAGCCAGTTCCCCAGCAATGGCCCTGGCCAGCTTTTCATACAGTTTATACACTAAGATTGGTGCCACATGGTCTGAAATATCCCTTTGGCCAGTTGGGGTCAGCTGTCCTAGCTGTGTTCCCTCCCAGCTTGTTGTGCCCCCAAACCTCCTCACTGGTGGGGTGAGGAGCTGAAAAGTCTGTGCTCTGTGCAAGCTCTGCTCAGTACCAACTGAAACATCAGCATCGTTCTTATCCTAAATCCAAAACACAGCACTATACCAGCTACTAGCAAGAAAATTAACTTTATCCCACCTGAAATCAGGACAGTAAGATGCTGGCAACCTTGCCTAGCTCCCAGCTCTCATCCCCCCAGCAACTTCCCCTTTTATTCTCACCTGCTGTCCCCAGCATTAGCCACATACAGCTTTCTTTGGAAATAAAGGGCAGCCAGAGCAGTGCAGCCTCCTGTCTGGTTCGTAGCTTCCATCTCCTGGCCAATGACTTCATCCTGTTGGTTTAAACAAGGTTGGAAACTGATGTGATCTGGACTGCTGCTTCCCACACACTGCCTCATGCCTCCCAACAGAAATCTAGAACCAAAACTGTCTGTGAATAGGTCACAGGAAACCAGCAAGGTGACAGTGTTGCTTCAGTACAGCCAACAAAGCTATTGCTACTGAACTTAGGATTGCTTCAGGAGGGCGATGGGGAGATCTCAAACTTGTATGTACTGTACGAGAGTGACAATAGCCACCATCTAGCCTGAAAAAATTGTATAGAGATGCTTTAGCTTTGCTCTGGGTCAGCATTGCTGATGTGCAATAGATCTGAGGCAGATCTTGGGCACTGACCCAGCATGATCTCAGCATGCTTAATGATTTGGCCAAATGTTCCTGCCTGCTTGATGAGCTGCAGAACTGCAGACCCTGCCCTTCCAGTGGGGTGGGACAGACAGACTGCCCTGGACAGCAGGACTGGTGCCCTGCATAGGGTACTCACACATTCCTGGAAGGCATTCTCCAGGGCTCCCACCACCAGGTCTGCTGCCTGGATGTGCTTCTCCTCCACGAACTGGGGGTCACTGTCGCAAACGCAGCGTCCGCTGAGGTGCATGGGCGGCTGGGCCTCTGCGATGCCTCCCACGACCTCCTCCAGCTTCTGCTTGATGCAGTAGTGCAAATAGTTGGAGGCAATGATGGCAGCTTCTGGGCCACCATGGCCATCAAACAGTGCCCAGTAGGAACCAGTCAGAAACTGCAGTGAAAAAGTGGAGGAAGACAGGGGCTGAAGAGGTCGTACAGATGGCAGGCTCACAGCCAGCATGCCACTGTATGTGTTTTGCCTGGGTTTTCCACCCCAGGTACCCTTCCTGGCTGCTGATTAATCTGTGCGGCTCAAACTCATGTGAAGCCCACATGCTGCTCTGCCAGACCTGTCATCTGAGCTCTGAGCAGCTGGATCCGGAGCCACCCACCCTCACGTGCTGTTCCTCTGTGTTTTGGGGAAGATGGGGCCATTTCACAAGAGGTGAGGCACCTGTGTGCCTGGTTCATACTGCTGTCCCCACACGATGACAACACACCTTGAAAGCTGAGCAAGGATATTAATGGAAAGGTGAGGGCACCAACTGAAGGGCTTGGACACCCTCAAATGCTCAAAGTCATGGGGCCATGGAAGTAGAAATGGCACATACAGGCAGAGCTGGGGGTTGGCTGGCCACAGGGTACACGGATACCCCCCAGCAAGCTCAAGAAAGAGTTTCAGCATGTGGGCATGTAGGACTGATGGAGCAATCCTTTGTTTCCTGAACCTGGACCCTTGGGTGGCAGCAGCCTGCCTGGGAGCTATACCTGCGTGGAACATAGGATCAGCCATTCCTCATCCTCTTCCAGGCCTGGCTCTCTCCTCCGGACAGAGATCTGGCAGCAGGCTGCCTGGTCCTCATTGAACTCCGACTTCTCAGCATTGATAACCCTGGGGGTGCAAACGCTCCAGGTAACATGTGGGTACACACTGCACCTTGCCTGCTCCCAGCCAGTGTGGTGAATACTTTGCAGCCACATCAAGCAGCTGTGTCATGCCCCTTCCTTCCAGCCCCACACTCCCTGCTTCCTTTCCAAACTCAAGGATCTCTTTGCTGGGAACCTGAAGAACAAGTCACTTGTGTACAGCAGGGAAAAGCCTGGCCGGGAATAAGGACAAGTGAGTGGTTTGGGGGCACTCTGGCCTCACGCAGCCCTTGTCAGCAGCCCACACTGTGCTGTTTCCTTGTCGACACAGTGAATTGCAAAACCACCACCACTGCTCTTCCTTCCAGCCTTGCTAATGCTTGTTCCTGGATGAGTGTTTGCTCTCCCTGCATTCCACACCGTGCCATCCCACGGCCACGGTGCTGTGACACTGACACGGCCTGACCAGGATGTAGGGACAGCTCCTGGCTGGAGTTCTTCTACCTCATCCATCCCTTCTGCCCTTTAAAACAGCAGACCCAGAGATTTCTGAAAATGTCATCTTCCCCTTCCTCTGATTTAAAGGCACTTTGCTAGGAGCAAGGGGACAGACTCCCGGGGCTGCCCCGGCCACTCGTGACAGCACTGCCGTGCGGCTGGCAGAGGTGGGCAGGGACGGGGCCGGGGGACGCCGCCGCC